TAGCTGTATGACCTTAAGCAAGTTTGTCCTCTGTGCCTCAGCTTCCTCATTTGTAAAATGGGGGTTATAGGATCTATTCCATGGGGTTGTAAATGGGGTTTACAGTATCTATTCCATGGGGAATAATTGACTTAATAATGCAAAGCACTCAGAGCAATGCCTGACACATAATAATGTTCTGTAAGTTTTAACTACTGTAGAATTCAAGAAGCCCTGGTTCCTCAGCAGTTTGGGTAATTTATCTGTAGAATACTGTTTGAGGGATAAGGTGGAATAATGAAATCAGCTGCATTAAATGTAGTTAAAGAAATCTTGACAAAGAGGTGATTTTTTTTTTGTCAACTTAATGAGGCATAATTTACATACAATAAACTGCATGCATGGTGGTGTTTTTTCCTCATAAATTTAGTACTTTTATTTTAAAGTTTAAAAGTTACACAAATAATAGATACTTATACATAGGAAAATGTTTTAAACAGCTGCATTGCTATTGGAGTGACTCTTACAGAGTTAGAATTATGTCTAGTTTTGGTTTCTGTATTTTAACCCTGGAGTCAAAGAAATCATTTAATCACATATCATAAATAAATAAATAATGCTGCAATGAACATAGGGGTGCATATATTCTTTTGTGATGAGTTTTAATAATGTATTTATTAGTTTATAGTATTTCTTCTGAAACAATCATCACATCAAGTACAGAAAATTTTCAATTCCCTGAAAAGTTTCTATACTCTTGATTTTCAATCTGTCCCTCCCAGTGCCCCCATTTTTTAGAATTTTGTATGAATGCATTCATACATTATATTTTCTTTTGTGCTAGCTTTCACTCAGATAATGATTTTTATATTTATCCATGTTGTTGCATGTATCAGTAGTAGTTCATTCCTTTTTAATGCTAAGTATTGCTTTGTTGTATGGATATAACATGTTTGTTTATCCATTCACCTGTGTTACTGTTTTTTAAATATGTTTTTATTGATTTCAGAGAGGAAGGGAGAGGGAGAGAGAGATAGAAACATCAATGATGAGAATCATTGATCTGCTGCCTTCTGCACGCCCCCTGCTGGCGATCAAGCCTGCAACCCAGTATGTGCCCTGACTGGGAATCAAACCGTGACCTCCTGGTCAACACTCAACCACTGAGACACACCGGCTGGTCTGTTTCTGGTTTTGATGATTGTGAATAAAGCTACTGTAAGCATTTTTGTACAAATCTTTGTGTAAACATGTTTTCATTTACAGTGGGGCCTTGACTTATGAGTGTCCCAACTAACGAGTTTTTTGAGATACCAGCTGTCTCTCCTCCGATTTTTTGCATTGAGTTGACAGAGTAATTTGAGTTAACGAGCTCCTTAACAAGCTCGGTCTCCGAACGAATTAAACTCGTAAATCAAGGCCCCACTCTATTTTGGGTAAATCTCTAGCAGTGGGATTGCTGGGTTGTATGGTATAGTATCTAACTTTTTAAGAAATTGCCGAACAGTGTTAAAGGAGGTGAATATTCAGCAGGATTTCCAGTCAGGGTGCAGTTACTTTTTAAAATTTATTTATTTATTTATTTTAAAATATATTTTATTGATTTTTTACAGAGAGGAAGGGAGAGGGATAGAGAGTTAGAAACATTGATGAGAGAGAAACATCGATCAGCCGCCTCCTGCACACTCCCCACTGGGGATGTGCCGGCAACCAAGGTACATGCCCTTGACCGGAATCGAACCTGGGACCCTTGAGTCCGCAGGCTGACGCTCTATCCACTGAGCCAAACCGGCCAGGGCTAAATTTATTATTGCATAAAAAAATTACCACAAATTTAGCTTCTTAATAAAACACATTTATTGTGGCACATTTTCATGGGTTAGGAATCTGGGCACAGCTTAGGTGGGTCATCTGTTTTAGGGTCTTTACAGGCAACAGGTAAGGTGTCAGGTTTCAAGTCTTGTCTCAATGCTTGACTAAAGAAGGAACTGCTTGCAAGCTCACTTGGTTTGTTTTGGCAGAATTCACTTCCTCAAGGGATGTTGGATTAAGGGCCTTGATTTTTCACTGGCTATTGCCTGCAGGCTGCTCTCTGTTCCTTGTCATGTGGCCTGGAAGGCAATATACAGAGTCTTCTAGGGCAGCAGTTGCCAACTGGTGGTCCGTGAGGTCCGAAAGGTTGGCGACCACTGTTCTAGGGAAATAGAAGTGTCCATCTTTTATAAACTATCTAGCGGCCTGATGCATGAATTTGTGCACCAGTGGGGTCCCTCAGCCTGGCCTGCAGGATTGGGCCGAAACCGGCTCTCTGACATCCACCGAGGGGTCAGGCCAAGGGACCCCACCGGTGCACAATTGGGGCCAGGGAGGGATGCGAGAGTTTGGCCAGTTGAGGAGGGACCGTTGGAGGGTTCCAGGGTGTGTCCGGCCCATTTCACTTAGTCCCGATAGGCCGGACCCCAGCAGCAAGCTAACCTACCAGTCAGAGCGTCTGCCCCCTGGTGGTCAGTGCACATCATAGCGAGCG